GAGCGCCGGGCCCAGGCTCTTCGTCGCCTTCTCTGCCAGGTTCTTGGATCTCAGCAGGTAGTCCTCGCCACAAAACAAGAGGCACCTTCGCCGAAGCCGCGCCGCATCACGTGCCGCGCCTCCGTGCGGTCCCGGCCACCACCAGGGTTGGCCTCGCTGCAGTAGCAGTGGGGCAGCTGGCGCAGCTGGCAGACTAGCAGAAGTAGCAGAAGTAGCAGTGCTGGTAGTAGTGGCAGTGGTAAGAGTCAGTGGTAATCGTAGTAGTAGTAGTAGTAGTAGTAGTAGTAGGGCTGCCCCCCCGGTGCGACGCCAAGACATATCGTTTTTGAAACCTCGTGCTGTCGAATATGCTGGTATTTACAGCACTACTTTTAGTCTTTCTTCAAATTTTGAGAATCTTGTAGGTTTTTGCTCATTTGTCATTGATTTTGAACATTGCTTTTCAATCTTGAAGCCAAAAAAGTTATTCTGACCCCAAACAGAGACAACGCTATGTCAGGGTAAGAACAAGGAGGAAGGGAAGGGAAACCACAGAAGGAAACCCGACCCTGAACGCAAGAACGAGGCTCAGCGTCGTCCTTTTTCATGCTTGAGCCACAGTCGATTGGCGTCTTTAACATTACAGAGATTACACAGTCAGGCAACATTATTTTACATGGAGGTTGTTCGTAAATCTCCAACTCCCCCCTCCTGACGTGGAAAATCTGTACATAATTGCATGTTGGAGGTGATCAGTCTCCGTTTAATTTAACTTGAGGAAGCAATGGCTGTAACCTACCGTAGATTCCTCGTGTTTCTCTTTTCCTGTGGCGCAAAAAACAGCCTAACAGGATGAGGTCCACACTTGCGAAGAAGTCGTCACGACATCTTCAGGCGCAATGCTCAGCAAAGTGCCACAACGATGAGAAGCTCAGCTTCCCAGGTTTGAATCACATGCACAACGTTTGATGATGCGCATATCGCAGTCCAGCTCAGCTGACAGCGAAAACAACATCTTGACTTGCTCAATCCACGTCGGGAAGACGAATGGTGGCGATCGAAAGGAGTTCGAGAGCCCGTGCCCATTTTTGCAGAGGTAGGATCTTCGTTAGAGGGTCGCCTCTCTGACTGTCCGTGTTGATGTAAGAAAGCAAGATGTTTGGGTTGAGGTTAACGAGTTCGCAATTAGCGGCTACGTTAACACGGTGAGTTTTGGCCAGATGCCGGAGCTTGGCCGAAAATCCTTTACGGACAATGGCGATGCATGCCTGGTTATCCTCATAGACGTGGAGCTTGATTTCTGGGATCAAGGACTCCCATACTTCTAGCATCGGAACAGCGTCAGAAAAGAGAGCCCCGCTCAACGAGACAAACTCGGCCTCGGTACTAGACCGTGACACAACCTTCTGGCGCTTGCTCGACCACGACAACAAGGCAAAGCTGGAGGGGCCTTCAACTGCGAAGACATAACCGCTCGTGGAACGGGAGGTATCTATGCAACCAGCAAATTCCGAGTCACAATACAGGGACAATGGCAACTCGGAAGGAGGATCATTGATACACAAGATCATTGCGTAATCCACAGAATGCAGAATGTAACCGATCAGTCGGTGAACCCGACGGTCATCATTCTTAGACCAGCTGCAGACGTGTGAAGCTAGTGTTGTGACTGCAACGATCAAGTCAGGACGACTTAACCTTGCCAGCCAGAACACCTTCATCAAGATTCTTGCTGCGGCTTCGGTGAGTTGCCCGCGGCAATCGTCGTCCGCTGCAGGTAGGGTGCTGATGTCGAGATGGCGAGTAAGCTGGGGTGTAACCGTTAGCGAACACACTGTCTCGTACAATTGGACGCACTGTTTCGCGAAATCCGCGGATTCAAGTGCTAGTGCTTTCTTTTCTTGCCAGCTAACGAATCTGTGGCATAATCCAAGGACCCTGGACAGGGCTGCACACGGCTCGAGCTCGACCTCCTTCGAGAGGGAGCACCAAAAGCCATCGTGCAGCGAACGCCGTCCAGACAGCGTCAAATCGTCTACATAGACGCATAAGACTAATCCTAGGGACTTGAAGAAGTAAACCGAAGGGAGATTTAGGAACTCCACCCCACCTAGCTTCAACAGTATCTCGTGAAGATGCTGCTGCCAGTAGGCGGAACTTTCTGGATGCCCATAAAGCGCTTTGTGGAGGGGCGCACAGGGTTGGAAGATATGCTTCTTGTCAGGTGGGACTACCTCGGGAGGTAGAAGGACGCATGTGCGGTGCTTGATTTTGAGCTTAGCCTGGGTATAGGCTCGAACTGCGTCGCTGGTTGTCACTCCGTGTGACTCCAGCAAACCAAAAACCAGTGCTGTGTTCAATCCTTCTAAAGAGGATGGAGATGACGCGAATAGTTCCTCAAAGACAGCAGACATGCCAGATTGGTCCCGGATGTCATCACCTCGAAAGACGATTCTTGCTTTGAGTCGCCACTGATCTGGACTCAGCTCAGACCCTTTCACGGATAAAGTGACCATCAAATTTCCGAAATGGATCACATTAGAAGTCCTAGTAGCCCATAAGAACATCCTTTTTCGAAACTATCTCCTCTTCAAGCCAAGTTCCAACACTGACAAGGCCGTCCTTTTCTTTCTTAATCGCCTCATATGCTCCTGGTTGCCCCGACCATTCTTTCCTATCGAGAAGACGGTGAACTAAACCCGGAAGCTTAACCTCTTTCATCCCAGACTCGTGCATAAGAACATCAAGAGGAACTTTGGGCTTAGAATCCTTTTCACGATGGAGTTGCAGCAAGGAAGGAACACACGGGAGCGCAGGCGTTTGAAACGCTTCGGCAAAAGGGAACAGCGACATGAGCAGCACCTTGTAGAATGCCTCAGGATAGTAAGCTACCCGCGGACAAAGCAAACTCGGTCTGGTTGTCGGTGTACCCGCGGATAGCGACCTTGGAGGTCTTCTTAGCATCCCCTTCCGGGACCCAGAGTTTCACACCGACCAGGGTGGCCAGTAGCTCTAGCGCAGCGATGACCTTGTTCGGGCCCCCCTTAGCAAAGGCCAAGGGGGCCCATTCCTTCTTCACTTCTAGCGAGAACCAGGGGCCATGGCAACCGTCTACTAGTTCCAGGAAACCTCCGATCCACGCTCTTCCATTCTCTGCTTTAGCGTCGGTGTAGAAGGAGAGTGGTGCAGCACCATCCAGTACCGAGGCCGGCTTCTGAAGGCGACCTCCCGACTCCAGGCGGTCCGCTAGCCACCCGCAGAGAACGCGGATCATCGTGGGTAGCCTGGCTTGCGAGGAAGAGGTAGCTTAGCGGGATCCCCATGCGTCCTCTAGCCCCTCGTTAAGAATTATAGGATAAGAGTTAAAGCTTTATTTAGAGCTGATATAATCAGCTTTAATTAAGGCTGACAGTTTTCCATAAAACGCTTATTATATCTCTATATATATCGATGTATATATCTTTATATTAAATTTGTTTTTTTTTTTCAGGAGGGCATATAGCATGTCTCTCCTGCATGCATGATCTGGATCGCGGCGACATTCGGCATGCATGCATGCTGCAGGCAGTGCAGTTGCAAGAAGCAGCATTCGAAGGAATATTGGCATGATCGATATTGCCGGATCTGCGTTTTTTTTTTTGCTCGAGTGTTTGAAGTCTGTTTTTTGTAAGCAGCAATGTCGAGTCGGAGGTCCAATGGCGCCAGCGGGAAAGATCTCATGAAGACTTTCAGAGGAAATCTCCAAGCTGTGGAAGCTGGAGATGCCCTCTTGTCTTTGGATGCTTTTTGCAAGAAGCATCATGTGCTCATGAAGGAGATTTTGGGCATCACTACTCGGCCGACTGCAGCTGTCATGCGTGAATCAATGAGCTTGGTGTGGCCAGGGGCACCAAGCTTGGAGCTAAAGACGTTTGCGAATCATCTTCACGAAGTTTACAAGACTCTCTTCACGAAGACTCGCAACATGTCCACAGGAGGAAGGCTGGCCGACAGCATTCAGGACATGTGCTTCTTCATCAAGGACTTGCTCGGTTTACCAGAGAGCAAGCAGGGGTCCAAGAGGGCAAGCTCAGGCTCTGCCCGGTCGCCCGACATGCCAAAAGGCATCGACAAGGAAACTTGAGGTTCACGTCTCTGTGTCCTCTTCGGATGCAGGTGCAACAGTTAAGAAGGAGCGGGCAGAGGCTGCAGAACCTGCATCAAGCCATACGAGAGATGGGCCAAGGCCTCTGCCTACAGGCCAAATCAGCAAGCTATACCAGCAGGCTGCATCGGCCGCCAGCTTTTTCCACACAGATTTGTCAGTACCAACGGTGCTGCGAATTGCAGGTGACAGCCGAGAGGCTGCCAAGATGCACAAGGCAAGGGGCCTTCTGGTTTTGCTGTGGCAGTGTGGTCCGATGGGCATCAGATCGTGAGCGAGATCCCGAACCTTATGCTGGACAAAGCAGCTGCAGCCAAAGCATCTCCTAAAGGAAAAGCAAAAGCAGCTAGCAAAAAGAAGCCAGCTGCAGCCATCAAGAAGCCAGCCTGCCTTCCGCAGGAAGATGGAGAATCTCCAGCTGCAGGTGCAGAATGCTGCAGCAGCCAAAGATATGGATGGCTCGCTCACTTTTTTCGCAGCTGGACGTAATCTCCCGTGTGCATCGCCTGGAAGCTTGGAACGACAGAAGCGAATGTACAGGGCTTCGAAAAGTAAGGCTCCCAGGAGCCTAAAGAGTTCAATGAGCAGCCGAATTTTTCGGATGCCTCACTGCTCCATGCGGGCGGGCAAGGGAGGTCCCAGAAAAGCTGCAGCAGCGAGCGTTTCGGTCGCAATCCATGAGAGCACATGGATGGCTCGCTCACTTTTTTCGCAGCTGGACGTAATCTCCCGTGTGCATCGCCTGGAAGCTTGGAACGACAGAAGCGAATGTACAGGGCTTCGAAAAGTAAGGCTCCCAGGAGCCTAAAGAGTTCAATGAGCAGCCGAATTTTTCGGATGCCTCACTGCTCCAACCTTGTTCCGTACTTCGAGGGGACTAGGCCCGAGAAAAGTTCGACACGAAAAGACTCAGAAGCGAAGTCGCGAACGGCGCCAGCTCAAGCACAGCTGAACGCTGACTCTCTGTCAGGTCGGTCAGCAAGAGCTGCCCTGCCACGTCCTGAAGGTAGTGCTCCAGGGTGCGCCGCTGCTGCCATCTGCCACGCCATTGAATCCGTCCGATATCCTCAGTCATCTGATAAAGCCAAGTGGCGCCTGAACCCCTAAGGCACTTGGGAGTAATGCCGCGGTCGTTGTCACCAGTAGGAACGCCGAGGTGTTGAAACAGACAATCCCAGCGCCGTCGACAAACGTTAGGTGAACAGCTGAACAGAGGCTCAGAAAGCGGCACTGCCCCGTACAAGGCTGAAAGAAACTGAACAGCGAGGACGTCGGAGATCTTGGCATGCTGGCGCTGCAGAAACCGCTTTGTTTTGGCGCCCAAAATGCGGACATACGCTATGGGCGTGCTGGTGAGGAGATCAGAAGGAAGAATGAGATCCCTCCTCCGAAGCTTGAGAAACTCGCCTGGGCGAAGCAACCCGTGAAAACCCAGAAGTAAAGCGGCAACGAAGAAGGGCCATCCCCAAAGCAGAGCCACTGAAATTGCAGCCTTGTACACGGCCTCTGGTATAATCATGGAGCGCTCCTGCGGTTCCTCTTCCTCCCAGCGGGACAGCACACCCCATGCACTCGCGAAGAAGCTGCGGAAGTGCTTGAAGCGATCAGTGCAACTGTTGATTGTCTCAGAAAAGATGTACTTTGGGGACCCCGAGTAGAAGAGGTGCTTGCCGTACGCAACCAAAGCAGTGCTAAGCAGGAGCCCCGAACCACAAAGCTGGCAAAAAGTACACTCCAACTGCCCTTCGGCCCAAACGCTGAAGTCTGAAAAGAGCTTGTCACGGCGCTGGGCCACAAAAGTGCTAAGGCCCCCAGTGGCATCCAGATTAATCTCAGATCGGGCAACCAGAAAGTCCTGGCGGCGCCTTGGCATCCCAATCGCAGATTAATGTGAGCACGATCAAACGAGCCCACCTTCCAGTCGTGCCTAAGCAGTCGTCAGCTCGTCGCACCAGGTCGAAGTGCCTATAATCGCCCAGCAGTAACCTTTCCAGCCAGAGCGGCCGGGTACCGCCGAGCTTTCGCAAAGCTTTCAAGCGTGAAGGATCATCAGCAACATTGTCATGCGTGCCAATATGAAACAAAGCTGGAAACAAACCGCCACCTAGAATGTACGGGAGGCAGCTGCACATGTAATGGTTCATAGTGGCGCTACTTGACCGGCCCTTTGCGTTGCAACCGATGGTCACACGGCTGTCCATCCAAAACCCCGAAGCGACTCTGAGCTTGTGTTTTAGCTAAGAGCTTCACAAGGCTGCGGTAGCTGAGTTCCTCGTTCACGTTGATATGATTCAGCTGCCTGAAACGGTACTGGATTATGGTCTTCCACTCCAAGCAATGCCCCAAATCGGCAATCCATCGAGGAGGCTGATGAGCAGGCCGACTCAACGAGACTGCGCGAGTTTTCAGATCGTTGATGGCGGGAAGTTGTAACTCTAGAACATGTCTCACAGCTGCCAAAGGGTATGTGCCCGAAAACTTGCTCAAGGCTTCACCGGGCTTGGGGTCACGGCCAAAAACTTCTAGACTGCTTGGCCTGCAAAAACGCTGAAACTGATCAGTGCTGTCACGCGTGAAGGTGGGCCCCAAACGCAAATGTTTGTCCTTCAAGGGGCAAGAGCACGTGCCTCGCATCTTGAGTAGATCAGTGTTGTTGGCGAGCCACCGAAGAGGCGTCATGAAAGGTGAGCCGTAAGTGCAACAGCAAAAGTCCACCTCGACAAAGCCCCGAGCTCTAAGCTTCTTGAAGCAATCCAAACGAAACATGACAGACCCTCGTGGCTGCTCGCAGGAACAAAGCAGCCCATAAGTCGCGCAAAGATGCAGAATGAAGCCGGTGCGCGTCGCAATTCTGTTTCCCTGATACAACCGCTGATCGTCAGTACTAAAACCCCAAGGTTGATCCTTGGATCGCACCCGAGGCCGAACCATGGTACCAAACGAAGTGCAGTAGGGAGATACATGAATGTAAGCGACGACGCGCCGGGCTATCAATCCGACAATGTGCTGCATGGTCTGCTGCTGCATGATGTCTCCGTGGGGACCATCCGCAATGTCAAAGCCTGGGTGAACACGGAGTCCTAGCTCATGACCCATACTGCTAAGCTGGCCCTGGCCCTTCCCACGGAACACCTCAAGCAGGTCGAACAAGAACCCCTCGTTGAGCTGCGCGGGAATGCTGTGAGGCTGATCGGCTTCAAAGTCTGGGGTTTCAAAGGTAGCCAGATAAGCAGAAAGCTTGGGCTGAAGCACTGTGTGGAAACCTCTATGGTCAGCATGCCTAAGCAACTCCAAGCTGGCCGATGCCGTAATCTCGGCGGCACAAACTCCTGCTGCAAATGGAGATGCATCAGTACAATACAAAGTCTCCAAAGGCCTTGCGCGAAGATCAGTTTGGAAACAAGGAGCCAAAACCACTAGCAGCAGGAGTTCTTGCCGAGCCGCCGAAGAAAGCCGAAAGACTTCACTTTCGCGACAACCAGTGCCCTCATGAAAAACCTGTGTCATGATACACATGGCTGGTCGCCTGAACATCAGCACAAAAATCCACGAACCCAGGATACATTGTAACAGCTGAGGCGTGCTATGACCCAGAACGATCAATTGCATGGTGAGGGCACATAGTGTCGCCGTCTTAAGCCTCGGCGAAGCAATGTCACCCCGGATGCCGTCGAGCTCGCCTCCTAGCACTATGCTTGAATAAGAATTCCGTATCGCCTTCTTTGGGGAGGCACGCAATCCAGCAGCAACATATGCTAAGGCAGCAGAGTGCAGTAAACGAGCATCCTTGCGGCTAGGACCTAGGAGAAGGAGCCTTTCCTGCTGCACCACGATGAACCAATAAGAGGTAAACGTGGTCATCGATACACAACAGATCGTAACCCGGTCCACGCGGTAGAACATGCTTATAGGCAACTCTTTCGTGACCAGCTAAACACCCTGCGCGCTGAAGAAGATTAGCATGTGCATGCTGCGCGACCTCTACTGCAAAGTTTGTGCCCATCGCAAGTGTGCGGAAGCACCCGACGACCGGGACATCGTGCAATTCTGGCTTATAGCATCGCCATCCTGTGAAGTCAGAGCCTCGGAAGACACCATGTAAATGATTTCGAGAAGCATGTTGGTCTGTAACCATAAACCCATGATAGAAATCCTTCAAGTCATCTGAGTTGATCACCAGGTTCTGGTTTGGCGGAATGTATATACCACACAGCAAGCACGAATGGGCCAGCGAAAAGGCTGCCTCTGATACCGAAAATGAACGAGAGTTTTCGGGTATAGGGTTCAGGATCTGCCTGTCAAGGGTGTCGCTCTTATAGACGCTGAACAAGCCACAACGATAGCGATACTCCGAAGAAGAGGCCGGAACCAAATGTAAGCACTCGACATCATCCCATTTCTTGTAAAGTTGAAGCTGCTTGTCTAAGGGAGCTTGTACCCGGGCAACCTTCGGTCGAGGCCACTCGCTTGCATGCCGACGGAAAACCCGAGGGTCTTTAAAACCAGCTCGCAACAAAGGGTCCACGAGGAACTTCTCGGCCTGGAACCTAGGGGCCTCTTCAAAGGAGAGCCGGGAAGGGTCGACGGGCTTACTGACTGTTGCGAGCTTGGCCTTTGTCACGTTGGTAGAAAAAGCGGTCTCCGGCTCACAGGCGGCAGCTGCTGTACCACCTCGGCCGGGCTTCGAATAAGGCTGCATCTGAGAGAATAATTTGGTGCTCATACGCTGCAATTCTTCGAGTTGCAAGAGAACACTGTCGAACTTCTGAACGGACCGATCCAGACCGCGTTTGGGGCCGGACCCCAAGCGGATCCATGTAGAGGCCATTGCCTCCAACCTGCCAAGCATAGCATGTTGGGAAGAGCTCAAAGGCGGCAAGGCTGCGGGTGGCGACGCAGGTTTGCCCAACACCAACCAGTTATTCGCTGCAACGATGTGGCGAGTAACGTGCCTGATGAAGTGCCTGCGATGCCATCGCGCCAAGCGCCGGCCACCGAGCTTGGTCCTAGGGACGGGCAAGGGTGGCGGTAGCTGACAAGGCCAAATATCGGGGCTCTGCGAGGCAGCGCCCGAAACGGGTTGCGAATTCGAACAAGAAGATTGAATAAAAGAAGACAAGCGAGTACGTACCTTCAGCAAGTTCTGCGAAACGCATACACAAAGTCGAGAAGCGCTGAAGACATCATCCAAGCCTGCTGGAAAAATATCGGGCAGGAACCAAGAAGAGCGGCTCAAGCCGCCGCCTCGGGAGGATCTCACCCCTTCTGGCCGCGTTTTCCTCCACGGCCTCCCTTCGGCTCCCGGGTCCAGGCGGTGTCGTGGTGCTCGTGTTTCCCGGCGGTACCGGCTGCAAAGACCAAGCCCAGGCATATCAAGCTCATGACCTCCTCGGATCTCCCCTGCTCCATGGCCTCCCAGGCGTCGCAAAGGAGGAACGCGAAGTAGGTGAGGGTCTTGTAATGGCCGAGGGGCACCACATCCTGAAAATGGTAGAACATGTCCCTCGGCTCCAAGGCCGAGGTGCTGCTCTTCCGTCTGGCCTGAGCTAGCCTCTCGCACACCTTGTGGTAAACTTTCAGCGGGTCCTTCTGGATCTGGTCCTTGAGCAGCTGCCGGGCAGCCATGCCTCGAATCCCGGGCACCTTGGTCTCCTCGTCTGCCGAAGAGCCTCCGAGGATGGAGAGGGATCCGAAGCTTTCTTGGTTGAGCTGGCCACCAGAGCCGCCAGGAGCTTTGTCTGCTGGGAAGAGCACCGCCCTCGCCCTCGGCAACCTCGTCGTCGACGGCCTCCTCGGCGTCCTCGTCCGGAGCAGGAGCCACCTTGGGCGCCGCGCCCAAGTAGAGTTGGGCCGCTTCCCCGCTAAGTGGAGCAGCCGCTGAACCTGATCCTGCTGAAGCTGAGCTTGCGCCCCCTCGTTGAACAGTTGAGGCGCCCACTGAAGGAAACCACCGCCCGCCGGAGCGGCGGCTGCCGCTGGGGCGGGGGCAGCGGGCTTCTCCAAAGACTGAAGTCGAGCGTTGAGGCCTGCCAAAGCTTCGGGCTGAGTGGTGGCATGCATCAGAAGCTGCTGCAACACATCGTTCTGGACCACCTCTGCCGCTGCTGGAGCCACTAAAGGAAAAGCCTCGCCCTCGGTCTCGCAGGTGAAGTAGGCGTCCAAGCGGTCGGGAAGGTCCGCAACGTTCCCGTCCAGAAAGCTGGAGAGGGCCTCCAAGACCCGGACTCGATGTGGCCACACACTTTGCAGCCTTTGGGTGCCAAACACTTTGAGCTCGAGGTCGGGGAAGGGATCCACTTGAAGCCGCCCGATGCCCTCTGCCGCCACGTCGATGAACAAGCAAGGGATGATCTTCTTGAGCTCGCGCCCGGACACCGACACCGCAGGCACTGAAGTGTTGAAATGAGGCCCAAAGAGCCCCGGATACCCTTCGGCCTGGAATCCTTGCAACTCCTCTTCGGAGAAGGTCCCGGCGGGCACGCACAGCATGAATCCCGAAGCCACGGCACGAACGATAAATGCTTGAGCACATGTGCCACCGTGGTTGAAGAAGAGCTTGGTGTAACCCTCGATCGCGTCGGCTGCTCGCCATCCCTGCAGGTAGTCCAGATCACCAGCTCCTGCCTCCACGGCTGCCTCCACAGCCATCAATCACGCCGAGTGGGCAAGCCAGGAAGGCCTGCACCACGACAAAAAAGCCTCGGCCTCGGCGATGCTGCCGAAGCCGTGGGAGATAGAGGTGGGATCAAAGTTTCGGCCGGCCTCGGTCTGAGTAAAGGTAAGCCGAAGTAGTGTAGAAGGGCTCGTCCACGTTGTGCCCAGTGAGGATCACGTAGCAGACTTTCCGGGTGCGAGGCCGAGCTGTGAAGTACCGCTCTTGCCCTGAGTGAATCAACTGAGCTTCTCGGCCCAGCGCGTAGGCGGACTCAATCCGCTGCAAGGGGTCCTGGCCGTTGACCGTTCCCCGAAGCTGCCTAGCAAGGCTGGTAACAGAAGCTGGGCAAACAGCCGGAGTAGCCTGAGGCTCCCAAGGCCCAAAGACTGTGTTTGCTCCCCTGGGGGCAGCGGTCCGCCCAAGCACAGGAGCGGCAGCAGGAAGCTCGACCCTGCTCGAGGAAGCACCAGAAGAAGATGGAGGGCCCGACGAATTGGTCACGTTCGTTGATGGTTAGGTTGCCCAGCGCTCGCAGCAAATCCACAAGGTCGGCGGAGTCACGCCCTGTGCTCATGCACAGGTTGCCGGTACCTCGCCAGACGATCTGCCTGAAAGTTGGGAGGTGCTGGGTGAAGCTCGCGAACGACGGTTCCCAAACAGCCCCAAACAATGTTCCTGGCAGTTGCAGAGGTCAGAAGCAGCGTAACCAAGCTGCCAGTAATCAGACCGCAGAGCCAAGCCAGGAGACACAGCAGAAGCCAGTCGGAAGTATGACCGCCGCCGCTGCAGCCTAGCCAACCTAACACAAAAGGCCAGACACCTGGCCTCTCGAACATCTACCTTGACCCAGAAAAGCTGCAGCAGCGAGCGTTTCGGTCGCAATCCATGAGAGCACATCGAAGCCCCTGCCGAAGCCGCTCTGGTTCCAGTCGATGCTCCAGCTGCAGATGATGATCAGGATCCGAACTATGGGGATGTGGCGGTTCTCCCTGCAAATGCGGTTCTTCGGAAGGAGTATCGTGCAGCAAACAAGATCTTGGCCTTTCGCATGATTTGGCGAAACGAAAAGGACAAAGAGTGCAAGAGGCAGATGTTCCAGCTGAAAGGCGGCTCCGCCACCACGAAGGAGCAAATGCATGCAACAGGAGAGGACCTACGAAAAGCTCGAGCTGGAGAGCCTTTGGCCCAGGTCAGGAGCTGGGCAGAAGAGCAACTGAGCAGCATGCAGCCATAGCTGGGTGAGCTGCAATCGAGACTCGACGATCGATGACGATTTCGCTTTCGAGCAGAAATTTTGTGAGTGCCTGCATTTTGGATCCATGCTTTTGCAACAATTTTTAATTTGGCATGTGCAGCATGCAACTTGAAGACTCTGTGTTTTTGTATATCTGTAGCTGGCTCAAAGCATGCATGTCCACGTCTCTAGGTTAACATGGCTTGCGAGGTGTTTTCTATATATTATATTCTATAAATACATAAATTAACAAATCCAAATATTTTGGCGCTTTGAGGGTTTAAGGGTCTATAGGATTAGATTCCTGTTGCCTGCCGGGCCCTCAGTTCGGTTGTGAGCCTGCCTGCCATAGCTTTGAGAGTTCCAAGCAGTGTTTTTTGTTTTCGGGAGGTTCGCCGCCTCCCGGGGTAGGCTTGAAGCCCCTTGCCCCCTGTGCTTGCCCAGGTCGAGACCATGGTGCTCGTGCCGCTCTACTGCGAGGACAAGGACTGATCTGCAGATTCTTCATGTTCGTTTTTGTTTGCAAGGGCAGCAGATTTGTGGAAGTTCTTGCCTCCATGCTTAGAATTTTGAGCTCGAGGGCTCTGGAGTGCTTGTAGCTGTGTTTTTGGATTTGGGCCGCCATGGCGGCGTCCAGCAAGCTCGGTGCAGCTGTGAGGTCCGGGTGGAAGACCCGGCAGTGCCCGTGCCGGCCGAGGGTGACCCGAGGCCGGGGCCGGATTTGAGGATGTGCAACCGCTGCAAGACTGTGGCATATCTCCGAAAGGGGGGTTGCAGCAATCCCGCATGCAACTTGGATTTTGAGTAACATTTTGAACTTAAGTGTGTTAATTTTCCTATTTTATTCGGGAGTCGTTTTGGACTCCCGTATTTTTTTATCAGGGTTTATGCAGCTCCGCCCTGCAGGCCCCCTCTACTATGTCCACCAGATGGACTGGAAGTATCATGCGAAGGGGAAGCAGCGGGAGAAGAGCTGGATGGAGGATTCTGAGGGCTTCGAGAAGATGATCTCCAACATGAGGTGGGCCTTTAAAGCGGCCGAGGAGAAGAAGGCCAAGGAAGCCCAGGAGGCCAAGGAGGCCGAGGAGGCCAAGGATCCCAGCAAGAAGCCCAAGAAGAAGAAGAGTAAGGGGATCAACCGTCGGCTGCGAGGAGTCCAACGGGGCTTCACGAAGGGATCGGGTACCATCCGTGCAGAATCTCAGCTTCAATAATTTTTTCTGGAGTTCTATTTTGGGACTCCATGTATATACAGCCAAGGAGAAGCCCTCGGAGCCGAAGCCGCCCAAGGTGCCATCGGAGCCGAAGCCGCCCATCAAGCCGCTGAAGCCGCCTATCAGCAAGGGCATCCCGAGGGCCTTTCAGGACAAGACGCCCATCAAGGCCGAGAGTGTGGGGAAGGCTTTGATCCCCAGGTATCCGACAGGTGTGATTCAGCCACCGGTGCCGGCAATCAACATCAATTTCTTTGGGAGCTCAGGTGCCTCCGGATCCTCAGGCAGGGATATATATATATATATATATATAATGATAAGTTGTAATAATTTGTTTATTATAGATTTTTCGCTGGAGTCTTTTTGGAACTCCAGTTTTTTTGTTTTCCCCTGCAGATGTCATCGCCGGGTTGCTTGCGGCCATTGGAGCCGGGATGGCGGGGCAGCCGCCGATGCCGCCGCCGCCGGCGGGCCCAGGGCCAATTATCGTGGAGGTGCCGGTGAAGCCGGCTGAGGAGGAGCCCGGCATGGATGGGACGATGTGGAGGAGGAGGAGGAGGAGGAGGAGGAGGAGGATGGCAAGGGCGATTCGGAGGAGGGCAAGAATAAGAGAAAGAGGGATGAGGAGTGATGTGTTTCACCCCCTGTGCAGCATGCATCTTCCAGGGCGATGATGATCAGAGCGATCGTGCAGAAAAGAAGTGTTAGTGTGGGAGGCATGTGGTGCTGTTGTTTTCAGGGTTTCATCATCCATGCTTTTTGGCAGGAGTTCCTTGGAACTCCTGAGCAATGGTCTTGGCCTCAGAGTGCATGGTGTGCAGTCTGTAGCATGCAGTGCAGTTTTTTTGTTTGTTGTGTTTGCAGCTTCTGTGTATTGCAGGTTGGCTGGGCATCCCCATCATGGGTGTCGAGGCACGGGCGGATTAGGGTTTAAGGGTTAAAGGCAATATAAGGGTTTAGGGTTTAAGGGTTAAGGGCTTAAGGTTTCAAGGGTTTAGGGTTTAAGGGTTGGGGGGTTTGGGGGTTCAAGGGTTTAGTGTCGACCTAAAGAAACTACGAGGGGAGGGCCCGCCTGAACGGCGATCGCCTTTTCGCTCGATACAGAATGCCTTCGCGAAGTTGCCTCCAGAGCGGTCGGAAGGGAGAGGGACTACAGTGCTTTGCCCGCTGTGCAAACAAAAGCATCAAAACTGAAGGGTTCGGTAGTCATAAACAGCAGGATTTCCACAGGGCTTCACACTGGTCTTCCTCTCTTTGTCAGTTCTTGTGCTGGTTTCAGCACGTGTCCCGACCACTGAGATTGGCAAAAACACCTTCTTGGTAATCATGTCCCACCAAGGAGTGGGATCTTGCGGCTTAGTTAACACGTCACCAAGTTGGATTTCGCTAGGGATCCAAGCCAGTGGAAGCTTTTCGCTCCACTTCTCCGCCTTGAGAGCTTGTCGCAAGGCGGCCAAATCGACCGCTAGTCTGCGGTCCGAAGGAGTCCTCGGGACTCCTTGTCGGTGCAGGTGGTCAAACAGCGACCTGCAATCACTCAAACAAACGAGCGGCGTTTTGGCGTCCTTGGTCATCTCCCCGCTGAGGATCGTCTCATAGCAGGCACGGATGTACTGTGCCCCTTCAAGCCCCTCAATGCAGGCTTGGGTCTCGGCGCTGAACGTGCTGCGGCAAACTCTCTGTCCTGCTCGGGACTTCCAGTCAACTCCAGAAGGCCCCGACGTACGGAGACGTGATATTCACCAACAGCATTGCCGCCAAAGCAGAGGACCACAAGCAGCGTGGACTGGTCTTCCGACCAGTGAGCGAAGACAAGGCCGTGTTCCTCACCTACCACGACGCAGCATGGGCGAACGCCTACGAAGGAGAGTTTGACGAGGACGACTTCAAGCTCTACCCCGAGGACCTCGAGGCCGGCTTGCAGCGCGACGGACCTCCGTCGCATCAGAAGCGCCGAAAGGCGAAGCGGAACAACTCCAAGGTTGCCTCCCAGCTTGGGGAGCTCATCCTTCTTGGAGCCGATGACTGCTTCACGAAGGGGGGCGGCTACGTGTCGGTCCTGGCTGCGACATGGAGACGGCGCATGTGATGTCTGGCCGGCTTTGCGCCGACACCCACGACAATGCCCCAATCAAACTTCTGTTGTCCGCCAACGCCTCAGCGTCGGCTGGGGCATCTTCAGATGCTCCTTTTGGGATGCTCACCTTGAAGAGCCGGCTCTCCACGTAGGACGTAGGACTGCTGGTTCAGGTAGGCGCCGTTCTCGTCATAGCTGATCTCGGTCCCCACATAGGAGAAAGCCCGCTCTTCCCAGGAATCCACCGGGAAAGTTCGAGATAGGGCCTCGCATATCGCCTTCTTGACACTGCGCGGGGCGACCACCAACAAGTCGTCCACGTGAGTGCCGACGTAACCGATGGGCTTCCCAACAAACTTCTCGTCGCGAAACTCCCTGAGGGCAAAGATGCACGGGTCCATCGGGCACTGGTCGAACTTGTAGAGCTTGCCATCAATCTCAATCTCGATCCCCTTGATCCCGCCTTGG